GGACATAGGCATGGCATAATGGCATGTCTGTGGCCATTACGTGAAGTTGTGCTTCTTGGTGTGCCAACATGTTCTGGGTGTGAGGAAAGCCGTTCACGTTGCTCCCCAGCCTTCCCTTCTGCAGGGCTTGGCACGATGCTTCAAAATGGTGGGCCCCTTGCATTTTCCACACATGCGGAATTTCTTACTACTGGCTGGCTTGTGAGACATGCCTGAAGGCCTGAACCATGTTGTCCCGCCCGTATAGCCCCCTAACAACAGGGGACCCGCGAATAAAAACGAGGCAGCCTTCTGTAAGGCTCCCACGGTTTCTGAGGGCTAGGAGCTCGTTGAGCGGCAGCCGCAACACACACAACAGAGGTTCTCTACACCAGTACAACTGAAACAGTGAAACATCGCCCAACTGCCTGCGCAGCAGGGAAGATCATCCTATCCGCTGCGACAGACGTCTGGCCAGCTCCCGATGCCAAAAGGAGCGCATAGAATATCATGGCACCAGACTATTCTAGCCCTAGACATGCAAGCTTGTAGCAGGTATTGGTCCTTGCGGCGTGCCTTTGAATGTAAAGAAAGCTGTGATTTGTGGCTGGTCTTGAGGTGGCCTCAGACATCAGTGTGGGCTTATTTGATTTAATGATGGGGGCAGGCTTCAGATCCATTGCCGCTTGCATTCAGGATGCGGGGCTTGCGTGTCAAGCGGAAAAGGCTCAAGATTCAGCTCTCAGAACGGAGCCCTAAACTGCATCTGGGTTCCTGCAGGCTCATGAGACAAGTGACAAGTCTGCTCCCTTCAGATCATCTGGGTTCTGCTGCCACATTGCATGCCGCTAAGCTCGATGCTTGGCAAGCTGGCTGAAGGAGAGTCGCCGGCCTTGTGGCGTTCGGAGGCGACCTCTTTGTTGCGGACGATAAAGGCCACATCTCTCGCTTGCCTGCCGCCTCCATGACACAGGGCGCAAGGCAGGTCACCCAGCAAAATTGCTCGCGTCGCACAGAATGCTGGAAGTAGCAGGGTAGTAGGAGTGAAGGAACCAGAATCTTGCTCGTTGTGGTCATTGTAGTCCCTCCTCCTTGCCTGGGTGAATCTTCTAGGACAGATGGCCTCCAGCTGTATGCCACGCAGCTTGATGGCAAAATTTCAGGGGGCGTGCATCCGCATGATCACCAGGATCTTTGTCATGTCCTCCCCCCACAGATGCCCAGCACACGGAGGCATATGGCCAATGACGGGACACCAACACCTATCACCGGCTTAGCCATGTCTGAAAATGGAGAGACCTTGTTTTGGTCGGAACCTCAGCCGCTTCAGCCCATGGGACACTACTACAGTGACTACAGGCTTGCATGCCAGACCTTTGCAAGATGTCAGCTTCAGGTCTACAGCTTCAGCCATTTTTACTGGGCCTAGCGATGGCAAGGGTGATCCCCAAGCTCTCTTTGGGCAGGAACAGAGGCTTGATTGCAATATTTTGCGCAGCTTTTCAGAGGTGTTGGACTTTGGGCCGGCCCTATCCTCTCACCAGGCTTCATGAGTTGGGCGGAAGCACAGCAGCGATCGTGCACCTAGCAGCAGATCCCTTAGATGAGCTGCTGTTCTTCGTGGTGCATCGAGGAGCTCTGAGCTATTGGACCTTATCTCGCAGCCAAGTCTCTCGCAGGAGCAACATTTCAAAACTGCCAACTCAGCCGCCTGTCGGTGGCCCCGCGGGACGGTGACGTCATAACCACGGAGTTTGCAGCTGGATTGGTTTACATCCGCTCATGCAGCAATTTGCGAATTTGACGGAAGTTGATGGCAGAATGAATCACAAGCAATGTGGAAAGTGTCACGAAAGTTTACCAGCAGGCTTGGCCCACGGAAAGGCTTTGGCTCAGCTGCTTGCTTGCAACAGCGCCAGCAGAGGAAGCCGCCTAGCTGCCCCCTTACGCACCTCTTACGCATGTCTTGTGGCTTGAGGCGCGCATTCCGAGATTCTCTATGTGGCAGCAGAGCACGGCATCTATTCACTCCCAGTTGTGTCCTAGCTGCATGCAGCGAGGGAAGTTTGGAATGCAGCTTCGGCCCAGTGGGACGGCAGAACTCGGTTACCTGCCCTGGATAACAGCCCTAGCTTAACTAACTCAGATGACGGCTCAGTCATAAGTTGCTTCCATTGCTCTTCAGACGGAGCTGCCGGCTGCACTTCGGCACCGGTCATGACATTAATGGCACGGAGAGAGGTCCTTGGTTCCTAGGCCATACAGCTCATGGCTGTAGTTGTAATCTTGTAACCGTATTGCTTTAAGACTGCAGAACCTAGAACTTCTCGGCCTCCGTGACTCCCCGGATGGTCTTCGGCGACCAGAAGAGAAGTCTGACAAGCCCTGAGCTCAGCGAATCTGATTGCAACCAATCTCTTGTCTGAATAGGCTCTGAGACCTTTGAAGGAACCGTTACTAGGTAGGCACAGGTATGTTGGCATTAGCATGCATGAGCCCATCTGAGGCTTCCATAGCTTCCATGTCCGTGGAGTTGACTGCGTGCTGGGGGACTGGCAGAAAGAAGGTGGCTGCATCACCCTGAGCTTCAGCACGTTCACAGTCATTGTGGCGATTGTTATTTCATTCATAGCATGTGCTGCTGTTTACTGCGTGTCATGATGTAATGCTCTATAATGCGCTTACCACTGTGGCAGAAGCGGCAATCTTCCAGATTCTTGTCCAGAAGCGGGGTTGTTTCTGCCCTTGCCGCCATGCTGCTGATGACTCTTATTCAGTCGGATCTTGCAACAGATAAGGCACCAAGACATGCGGCGGTGGCATGCAGAAGCCGCTTTGCACGAGATGGGGAAGTGGGCACTCCACATTCAGATTTGGGCTTGCACAACAGATCCTAGCCGTGAGGATGGCGTATTGGTTGAAGGCTCCAACCTTTGAAGTAGTTGCCTTTCCAGAGGCTGATCCGGCCAGTACTTACGCATGCAGCTGACGGTGGTCGGTCATGCCCAGAACGCCAAGAGAGGCACAAGGCTGGCTACAGTAGTCACCAGGGCATCAGCCCGGTGTTCCACCCGTAGTCCGCCTTGAGTGCTACTTGTGCGAGCAGCATTCGCAGGATGCAGTTGTGTGATGTTGTCTGTTGACTTGCAGCTCTTCAAGTTGGCTTTGACTAGCAGGAATGCTTTGACCAACCGTGCCCAGAGACTGCAACCGATTGTCTAATGGGTGGCCTGGCCTTAGCAAGGAGGTGGCGCAGGAGCAATGGTTGGATCACGTGCCTGTACTTGCGACGCACTGAACTGCATTGCTGTCTACTTCCTCAGGTCAATGGATCAACATGGCCGTTTGCTCAACGACTTGTGGCTACGGCAAGCAGCACCAGAATCCCAGCTTCCTTTACGAGCACCTGCGTGAAAGCTTCATGTCAGGTTGGCTGAGTCTGCTGGCGTTGGATTACCCAAGAAATGTCTGATGGATGATTCCCTTGGCATAATGGTCTGAAAGGTTGCGTGACGTTGGTGCACCACGACAAGTAAGAAGCTGTAATGGAAACTCCCTTCATCCAAGTAAACTCATGACTCATGCATGAAATAAGTTGTTGGAGATGAGTAGGGATTAAGGGAATATGCGATATAGGGATTATAGGAGGATATCACTCCCCTGTTCCCTATTAATCCCCAGCAAGATGTTGGGATGCGCGCAGCGGGCACAGCAGGCTAGTTGTAGCAATTGAGCCGAGGAGGCGGTCCATCTTGCGCCAGGCTGCTTTCGGAGGAACTGCATGCCCTGAAGAGTTGGAAAGAAGCGTGGAGTCTCAGATGCAAATTTGTAACAATGCTTAAATTACTGATGGCGGTCAGGAAGCATATCCTCCAAGTCCTTGCCTAGCTGCCTGGACACCCGGAAGGGTGCCTCCTACTATCTGATACTACCTTGCAACTTCACAACTGCAAAGACCAGAGGATTGCATTCGCGCAGAGTGCGGCGGTTACGATTTCCTTCTTGCAGCGATGCCCAGCATGGGCCTGTGCCTCATCTGCATAGCGCCTGGCAGAGCCTGCGCAAAACTCCCGGACAATGTTCCTGATGCAAGTGGCCCATGCAACCCACCTTGGAGTGAGCAAGGGTCTCCTCTCGAGTGCTGGCGAAGCAGGAGCTCGAATGGACACCGTCATCTGTGCCTCGGCTGATCCTGTTGCAGTGTTGCGGTGTAATTGCATGTACAACACGTGCAGGGTGGCTTCGTATGCAGAATGGTTCAAAAGGCTAAATGTTCAAAATGCTGAGGCTGTTGGTGCCTGGTCTGCAAGCCCAGTAGACACTTGTACGTTGCGCAGACGAGCCTTCCTGGCATTTGCCAACTACATTCTTTCCAGTTGCATGCACGGCAAGCACTATTCAGAGGCTCAGCTCTTTAGGAGGAAGCATATATCGAAGCTGCGCTTCGCACGAACCTGTAAGGCACGCTGCACCTCGGCTCTGTGAATCTCATGGCAATCGATTCGGACAACCGCTTTGTGTATCTTGCGCCATTCGGAGGAGCCGCCTAAGAGTTTGCGAGCAAGGCATTCCAAAGTGGACGGTTGCGTAGGTTGACAGTTCACCAAGCCTTTGACCGCTGGCTTGGAGATTGCATTTGTCCGCGCGCCTTCAGCATTTGAGTGGCTCATACCACAGAGGGGTTTGAAACAATGCAAGGGACTGAGCCAAGAACCCTTCCCCACGTCTTGCGGGAGATCGAGGGTTTACTGGTGGAGCTCCTCAAGTCCCAAGCTGCCGGGCACACTGTGCTCCATGATCCTGCCGTCAGGGGTTCAAGTCCAAGCCCCCCAGAAGGAGAGCCAGAAGAACTGGCGCTGGAAGAATGTTTTAAGTCGCAGGCTGAATCACCTATCCTTCAGAGTCAGGAAGCAACGACGACAGCTCCAGCTCGGAGTACTTCAACGTTCAGGGGCAGCAGGAAATCGTCGAGAACATCCGAGCTACCTTCTCAGGGGCCATCCTTCAAAAGCGCTCGCCGCATGATGCAAGACTTCTCCCGGCAAATCACTTATGCGCTGGAGGAAGAAGAGGTGGATCAATCCAAGGGCCGTTTCGAGGTTCACCGTGGGTGGCGGCAAGTGTGTCGAGCGCCTTCTGAGAAGAGGAAGGCTCTGGTCACAACTCGGAGTTCTTTCCATGCAGACATGGGCGACCCAGGTGCTTTGACAAAGCAGCGAATGCTGCTAAAGCTCTGCTCGGTTGGCTGGTCCCTATGTTCAATTCTATTTGTTATCCTGGACTTTGTGCTGATTCCGCTCACGGCATTTCAGGTCTCACACGACTTGCTAAACGGTCTCATCACCACCTTCTGGGCCCTTCGTCTTGTTTCCAAGGCATCTTCTGCTTGGACAAGGCCAAGGCAGCTCCGGAAGATTGCAAGGCTTGTCCTGGGCCTCTTGCTAGTCTCAGCAAGACTTGCACATGCCTTGAGACCTGCAAACTCCTCACACTTTGCTTGGGGCATCCTTTTGATGCTGCAGCTGGTACGGTTGGCCGCGCTGCCGCACTTGTATGAGGCTTCCGGTCTGGCGGTCCTGGTGCATGACACTCTGCGGAAAACGAGCCGAGAAGCTCGTGCCTCTTGGAACCTGGCTTGGATGGGAGTAGGTTCTGTTGCTTGCCTGCACTGTTTGACGTGCGCCTGGTATGTTGTTGGCTCGCAGACCGATGGTTGGGCGCAAGCACTGGCTGGTCTCCCATGGGACGCGCAATATAGGAGAAGCATGGAGTGGGCTCCTTGCCAAGCAGAGTGGAGTGAGTTTGAGGAACGCCTGTTGCAATGTGAGTTGCTTACTTTTGAATCATTCGTGCCAGGCTTTGGCCAGATTGCCGCCATCGCGCATCACAGAGAACATGGAGTTGCACACCTCGCCCGAGCGCATGCTGTCCGTCTTAAGCACTGCGCTCTGTGTGCTTTTTGCTTCGATCTTCACCTCCGTGGCACCTTGGCATGTGCTTCATATGGTGCACTTGGTGCATCTGCTTGCTCTTCAGCACGCGGTCAAGTATGTGCATACCGTACAGTATAATTATAGGTGGTACCGTCTGAAAGTAGCCTTCTGCTCAGAAACCTTTAGAATCTTGCTATGCCACGGCATTTTTCAGTTTTCGTTTTGTGCTACAGGGTGGGGGACGGGCACAGGGGAGACCTATGCATGCGGTAGCTTGTTCAGCTAGAGCTTATTCGAGAAAGAAGTATATATCGAGAAAGAAGTAGTTGCCTGCGGCTGCTCAGGTTTTGCTTGGCGCCGGCCAGGAAAGTTACAATTCGATGAGGTTCCTGAGGTTTCGTCGCTAATTATTTCTTTCTACACGAAGCCAGGATTCGGTTAGGAAATACATATGTTGACAACTTGAAGCATGATCTCGAAGAATCTCGCAACGTTTTCTAGGACCGCTGCATTATCTGCTCAGGGTTTGGCATTTGTGCGAACAGAAAGCGAGGAATGCAACCAGCAAGGAATGAAGGAAGGAAGAGAGCAATAACAAGGAAGGGAGCAGGGAATGCACAGAAGAAGCAACCTCTTCGGGGATGTGCCTGGTTTTGCCTCTTCTCCTTCCATCAGTGGGTTGCCTCCTCCCCCCCCAACAATTTTCCTCAGAGCGGGCATGTTGAAATACGAAAATCTGAAATATGCTGAAATCATCATTTCTGTGGCATGCCCAGGGGCATTGTAATCTCATGAAGCACAAGGGATGTGGGGGAAACTTGAAAGAATTTTCAGCATGTTTGATGATTTTGCACGGGTAAGGCGCGTTCCAGCGCAACCCTTTTCTGCTCAGGCCGTTGACTGCCCACCCCTGACATGAGGGAACATGGGAGCTGCTAGTGTCCCTGATGGAACGACTGCTACGGATGTTAGATTCGCTACACTAGGCTTGATTAAAGTGCACCTCAAAAACATGTAAGTTAGCTTGCTCCAAAATGGATCCGCACAGCCTCCACAAGCAGGGTAGCTTTCAGTTCAAGAAAGCCAGAGGAGTTGAAGGGTATAGCCCCAACATACTATAGTAGTTTCCATGTTCTTTTCCATAGTGCCTATGTAACCCCAAAATACTATGGTTGTTTCCATTTTCTTTTCCATGATCCCAATATTACCCCAAGATACTACAGCAGTTTCCATTTTCTTTACCGTTGTCCTATATTGGGGTTATATAGGGATAATGGAAAAGAACATGGAAACTAGTATAGTATGTTGGGGTTATATTGAATTAATGGAAAAGACAATGGAAACTACTGCTTTTATCCATCAAGGGTCATTCTCGGAACGACGACAATGGCAAACATAGCCGAGACAACTGCAAACGCATCAAACCCCTTAATAGTAGTTTCCATGTTATTTTCCATTATTCCTATATGACCCCAATATACCAATGTATATTATAATATATTATAATATACTATAATATTCTAGTTGCTGCAGGTGTGATAGCTGCTTCGCTCCTTGCTGGCAGGTTAAAGTGCTCTCCCCGAAAGACGTTGACAACGAAGGACGAGAAACCTCGTAGTTGTTGGTTTGTAGTTTCGATTGTAGAATCGCACCAACAAAACATGCAATTCAAGTTCAACAAGTTCGTTCTGTAAAAAATGTACCCATGCTTCTCTGGCTCTTCTCAGCCTGAGCATGTTGAGGGCTGCTTGAGAGGCGGCCTGGAGGTATAGGGGAACAACCTGGGCCCCCAGCTTGATGAGTTCAACCTCATAGCCTAGGTGCATACAACAAGAGTTTAGATTAACATGTGTGGTTCTGGCGCTGCTACTTATTGGTCGTGGCTGGGAAAACAGCGGGGTTCGGAGCGCAATCTAGCTGTTAAAGCGCACTGCTAACAAGTACCTTGAGTGTTTGGATAGAGCGGGCAGTGTGCTGCAACTTCATGTTCCGCACGCTGAAGCTCTCCGCAGACGCTGAGAAGTCACGAGTGACCATGAGAGTCAAGATCCCACTCAGGTAACCAATGACATCTCAGACTTGCGCCGCTTGAGCCGGATGCATAAGGAGGCGGAGGACAAGCTGTGCGACTTCCTGCAGGTGCTGGGTGGCAAGGTGTTTAAATTTTCTTGCTTTGAAATGTACAGTCTGCTGTTTGCTTGGCGAGCTGTTGAGGCACATCCTGTGCCCCGCGACCTCGAGCAGCAGTTGAAAAGCTATGCCCGCCGCCACATGCGCAGGGTGATGCCACCAGGTAAGGATGAGATTGCGCCCTCCCTTCCGCACTTCCTATATGATGAGCTGTGCCGCGAGGCTTTCAGCCCGGTGCTCAGTGGCCACACCTTGTTTCATGGGCTTTGTACCAAGTACTCCAGCGTTCAACGTGACCTGTGCGTCCGCTACTTGACAGACTGGAGCATCATGGCACAAGAAACTCTGTTCTTGCCCGGGTTGCCGTGTGAAAGTATGCTCTTCGTGGTGCGCGGCAGCATCACCTACAGCAAGTCAGATTTGCCCGCCCCGGCCAGTTCAATTGTCCCCTTGGAGCCACCCTGGCCGGCCAGTGTCCTGCCTGCCCCTTCCAGGGCTGATGATGTTGTGTCAAAGCTTTCAGAAGGCGACTGGCTTTGCGAGCACTGCCTCTGGACCCATTGGAACTATCTGGGACAGGCTCGAGCCGATGCTGGTGCGGACTTGCTTTGCCTGAGCCACGACAAGGTTTTCGAACTTGCTCGAACCAACAGAGACGCGGGCTCCGAGATGGCTAAGTATGCGGCACTGGCAATCAACCTGCTGAACAGCATCCCAGAGGAGAACCTATCCGACTTACCCTTTGAGCTGTCACCCACATGATTTTCTGCAAGGTTCTAGGGAATTTCCTAACTTGCGACACAGAGGCTTGAAGATCTGCAAGCCGCATGTGTATCCAGCTGCGATGCCGGAGTGTTGCACAAAAAGGGCAAGCATCATCAGCAATCATAACTTGCAACTCTTGTCAAAGGACTGTAGTAAGGACTTCAATAGCAGTGCTTCTTCTGTGCTCCTTCAAATGCTTGCCCGAACACATCTGAGCCACAACCGTTAATCTCCAT